ATAAAGGGGCATAAAGCTTTCACAACAAACACCTTAAACTGTTACTCACAATTACGAACGTCTCAGAAAAGTAAACTGCCCTTCTTTATTACTAATTTCTGATTAGCAAGGGCTCCAAAATCTTATTGTTTCAATTAAGCGTAAGTAATTCCAACATGTGAACGTATACAAAAGAATTGAGTAAAAGAGCACCAACAATTGAGTAACCTTCATGGCTGTATGTAAAAGAGCACCAACAAGAAAATATCCTTTTTGACTCATCAAGACATTCCTTTTCTACCTATAACATTCTTTTGCTACGTTAAATTCCGTATCGACAGAACTCCCTGACAGGCTTTAAAATATCAGTAAGCAAGAGAAGAATTCATGGGCTTATATCTTACTTTTCATCTCAGCCACTAGTTAATGTGTTCCACCCAGGAATGTTTGCTGTAGCCTCATTAACCATCTTCACGAGCCTTATCTGCAAACAAGATCAGTGCAACATCTATCAATTGGAGACAGAGGATCAGTGTAACATCAATTAACTGGAGAGAGAGTGTCTGTTTTACATAATTTGCCTTCACATCCAAGACAAACTAAGTATTGGATGATTGGATGATGAATGACTCGTACAGACACTATCTCATGGCATTATGGCTATCGCTGTTTATTTTTTCTAATTCCATTGGCCTCAATTACTGAGACCAATTTATAATCACGACAAATAAGACGAAAGCAAAGCTGATTCAACCTTCTTGTTCTGATATCATTGTTCACAACCATGCTTATGGGTAGGGAGAAAAATTAAAGCAGCCTTAGACACAGATGAGCCAATTAATGCAGCCATTTAGCTGAAAAATATTTGTTAAAAAAATGTTTTCTTTCTTGCCTACTGATGACAGCATTCAGCACACGGGCTCAATGAAACAGAATCAACATGCCTCAAAACATATTAGTGATAGACTTACCACACTTTCAGGAACTCCTGGAGGGGGCAAGGAGAGGTTTCTTGGTGGAGGACCACTAAGATATGATCTCTTGTCAAAACGCCATTCTCCAATCTTGCCATAAGTCAGTTCTCCCTAAATGTTAGAAAAGAAAAGCCATTCAGTGTAATTAAAAGAATTCATGCAGAAGAGAGATCACTATATTAATTAAACGAATTCATGCAGAAATAGAGATCCTGAAACAAGTGCAGTCAAACTGCCTTTCATAACAAAAATTTTCAACAAAAAAAAAGGGCAGAGAGAGAGAGAGAGAGACCTTTAAATTATAGTCGCATCCGTAAGTATAATGAATGATGAACGTCTTTCCAACTTCCAAATCCCATGGAGGCTGCACGCTTAAACTAAAGCATATTAGATCTTTTTATGACTTGAGGCAAAAGTGGAAAACCACAAAAATAATAATCACATGAATAAAATAAATAAAACCCAAATTCAAACCTGCAGCATGAAGTCTTTACGAAGAATATGCTGCACTCCATGCAATGCAGATGCTACAGCATATGCATACCTTATTTCAGCAGAGAAATGACACCAACATCAAATATAAAATAATCAACCTATTGGACGGAGATTAACTAGCAATTGAAGCTTATTACTTACATCTCAAGCACCCATCCAAAGGCCTTATCAGTCTCTGGGTCATCTTTCATTCTCAAAGAAACATTCACCCATGTGGGAGCAATTTCCTCCAGCAAGGACTGTCATAGATAAATTAGTCAGTACACATTTTAAAAGTATGATTTTGTAGTGAAAGTATAACCGTCAGCCTCATGGACAACACACCTATAATTATGATGCGAGGATGATATGTATAAAGCATACATATAAATCATACATATATACATATATGTGTGTGTGTGTGTGTGTGTGTGTGTATACATGTATGGACATGACCCACAATGTATATATAGGCACTAATGCATACATATATAAGTATGGAGATGCAGCACACATAGTAATGTATAATTAAGAATCTGTGTTTCATCATTTATAATCACCTCAATTCATAAACTACATTAGCAATACAATATTTTACCTTCTTTATGATTCAAAGAAGAATTGCCAATCTGATTAATATCAGTCACAGCACTGTTTTCTCAGGATGAATTTTCCTAATATTTTCTCATTTCAAATTATGGTTTATAGCAAAAAGTAAAATGGTCAGCTTGATGACAAGACAAATATAGCTACAATGAAGATATGAATAAAGCACACCTACATACACACCCTCGTGCATTCACAATCACACTATGAAAACAAATGTTCCACCATTCATAATCACATTAATACAAAGTTACATTAGCAATAAAATATTTTACCTTCTTTATGATTACAGGAGAATTGCCAATTGGATCAATATCAGTCACAGGACCTTTTTCCTCAGGATAAAATTTCCTAATTATTTTCTCATTTTCAGCTGGTTTAATGTAGAAAAATGGATACCCTGCTGGACTGTTTCCATGTGCCAAGTTTGGCAAGGGATTTACAAATATGTGGTCAGGTTCGGCCATTAGAATGTATCTGCATTGATCATGATAGAGACCAGCTCTCTGATTTCATCAATGAAGAGAGGAAAGTTTTGCAAGAAGTTAAAAAGGAACAACAAAAGCTTACTCTTCCTCGATTGTTGCTTTCTCTAGCCATTGCACAAAAGCCCATGGTCTATTTAGGACAATATAGCCCTGGATACACATTAAATTTAAGTCAGAATAATTTATATTAGCAAAAAGGGAAACCCATTACAAAAATGAACTATATGCTGGGGTTTGATGTTCAAGTAATCTCCAGTAACATACATCTCCTATGCAATTAGATTTAGGATACCAATTCATATTTTTGCATGAGAAACTTTCATTTTAATTAGAATCCGGTTAAGCTAATTAATGTGATGTAGGACAGCAACAACAGATAGGAAGAATAAGGAACTCACTCCGGCCTTTGGCATCGCACCAAAGGTGTCCAGTAGAACAATAAAAAAAATGCCCGCATCGCACCAGCCTTTGGCATCACACCACGAATGTGCCTTCGAATCACTCCAAGTCAACCTGTGCTTCACAAAGTTCTGTGATTTCCTGCTGGTGTGTGAAGCACAGGTTGACTTGGAGAGATCCCAAGGCACCTTCGTCGTGACGTCGAAGGCCAGTGCGATGACGGAATTTTTCTAATTTCTCTACTGGACACCTTTGGTGTGATGCCAAAGGCCAGAGTGAGTTCTTTATTTTCCCTATCTGTTCTTGCTGTCCTACATCATAATGTTATAAACCTCAGAATTCTTTAGTAAATAAAAATGACTACAATATGAATAACAAAGAGCATTTGAACTAAACTATACAAAAAAATAAAAAATAAAAGAAAATAAGTTATTGTTATAACTTTTGTCCATTATTCGTCAAACAAATATGGATGACAAGCAGATTAATTTCATTCTCCAATCTAATAATTAGGAGCCCAATGTCATAAAATGGTATGTAGACAAGCTTCATATCACATATATGTATCTTCTATGACTGTCAATATTTGGGGACATTTCAAGCATATGATTGCTTCAACATCAACTTCTGCCAAAGTAAATTTGTTTATTATGTTAAAAATAGTTGACATTTGATATTTTCCTTTGCATATAAATCTGTTCCTCTGATACTGAGTAGTAAAACTGTTTGATGATAAGCAATAGAAAAGAAAATTTTATGTTATTAGCAACCCATAAATCTATGACTACGCTTTAGTTAAAGGGGGGAAACAAGTTAAGTACAAGTGTTGGCACAGCAACATAAGTACACTTTTACAAAACAATGTCAATCCAACCTGATGTTACAACTTTCATCAGTTCCTTCCTCTTTTTTCTCTTCGTATTGATGACACCTTCTGTAAGGATGAATCTGTCTAGTATATTTCTGTCCTTTTATTCAAATGATAATTTACTTACCACTTATGTAATTGAAAAGCCTTAATCAAATTGATTTGAGTCACTTCCCCCCATAATTGTGATTTTATTTTCAAATGGGGTGATAGAGGGAATTCATGTTTTATGAGATATTACTTGCATTCTTTCTCTCCACGATGAACATTAGTTAAACCTTTTTTAATTTGATATCGGCAGATTCATTTCTTAAATACACTTTTGATGAAACAATCTATAACAACAATCCCTTAAACATTACATCAATCATTGTCATAGAAAGAGAATTGAAGAAGAGAGAACTAGCTCATGAGATCAATTGAAAAAATACAGAAACAGCATAAGTGAAGAAGCAAATTCCAACCTACATAAATCTAATTGGAAGTAGAGATAAGTGAAACAACAGTGTCAAAAAAACTCTCACCCGATCCAAGCCCCCTGGAAGAGGATCAACCACAACTGTTGGAATCTCCTCCATCAAATTGTCAGCATTTCCAGAATGCAAAACTCGTGTGAACTTTCCCATATCTGATCCAGGCATATCTTTTACCTTCTTGTACCAGTAATACATAATCCGACACTGCCATTGGCTATAGGGAGCATCAGTTGCTGTAAGAGCAACATGATATTTCGAATTCTTCGCGTTCTCATACCTCTGAATCATGGGCTTTATCAACCGATCTGCCCCCAAAAGCCCCGAGGATGAAGCCTTGTTGTGTATTACCACAGTTAACAAATTATAAGATGCAAAGAAAAACCCAAGTGCCAAAAGCACCAAAAGTACTGGTGATGCACGCCCCAAGCCTTTTCTCCCAATCATCTTTATGTGTCACTCAATTAGGAATATGGATTGTAAATCCTCAAAATTCAACAGAAGTCATTTCCGCTACCTACAAAAATCTTTTGAATACCAACCAATTTGACCAAGCAAAATCCTCCACCAGTTCACAGCTCAATTACAAGTATAGCAAAGCCACACTTACTGTAAACCCATTAAATGCTATCCTTTCCCAAACTTCTACTGACTCAATCAGAACCCAGAAAAGAGCAATGGACTATTCTGCATTACCATTACAAGAGAGAAACTAATAAGTCAAGGTATGGTTTGATGTTCGAAGAGCTAGAGCCACATTGCCAATAAGCAATAAAATGAATTAATTCCAAAACTACCAAAATAAAAAATAAATAAATAATCAACAAACTAAATCAAACAATTCAGAACTACACAATCCCATTAGTTCAACCAAAAATAAAAGGAAAAAGTCATACTTGAGCCAGAATTCAGAGGATTATTAACTTGAGACACAGATCTAAAGTAAAAATAATAAAATGGACACACTTAAAACAGAGAGATAGAAGCACATAAAGGAAGATAACTGAAGAAAGTTTATAACTGAAGAAACAACTTAAAAGAGAAATGAATGCAGAAGAAAAGAGATTAACCTGTACAAACTGGGCACTTTCTAACTGAAAACACCCTCCTCCTCCGAGTCTGTTGGAGTTGGAGCGAGAGAAGAAGAAACAGTTGGGAGGTTTTTTTCAACGCCTGCTATAGAAAGGTTTTTCTTCTTTTTGTTTTTCGGACAGAACACTATGGGAGGTTTGAAAAGCCGGATACTGACTGACTGGCCGAATCCTGCATAAAAGATTATTTCAAGGTTCGGATACTCAAATATTGTCCGTATGGTTGTGGAAAAAAGAACAAAAATTGTATGTAAAAAAGACCATGACGAGTCAATCAAACCAAAAAACAAAAAGAACGCTATTACCGCAATACTCGGCGGTGAACAAAAATTAAATGAATAAAATGACATAATTGTGGGCTAGGCCAATTTGTCAAGAGAATGTGTAGCTCCTTTACACCCTTTTCATGTATTAGAATAGTTAGAAGTGCTATGACAATCTTTCTAAAGAAAATGGACATATTATTTATAATTTTAGCTTTACACATGACCTGTTTCAAAGAAGAAATTATAGAATACTATGGTAGTATGGTCATGTGGTATATTTTATATATGTATTATAATATGGGTGGACTATAGGGTTTATTTTCCTCTTTTTAAGGAATAATATAATAAATAAACACTTATATTATAACACATATATAAAATGTACTACGTGACTGTACTATCATAATACTCTATCATCACTCGTTTTTTTTTTGGGTTTTGTAAAGAATGTGGTACCAACCTTCGAACCCAAGACCACTAGGGCCAGTTTGGCATTGTTGTGCTGTGAAAATAATTGTTGTCTGATTTGCTATAAGAGAAAGCAGTTTAGCGTTTGGTAAATTTTTTTGTTAAAAGTGTTGTTGGTACTGATTTTCGCATAATCAGAAAATGATTGCCGCATAATCATTAAACTCAGTGCCTCTTCGAAATTGATTCCTGCATAATCAGAAAATGAAAGCACATCATTAGTTGTTTTCCCTTATAACTTTCTTTCACAACAATTTGTAATAATAAGTGATTTTCTCAAAGTTTACCAAACAAGGTGGGCTTCCCAAAATTATTAAAAAAAAACTTATCACCCTAAATAAACAATGTCAAACTGGTACTAGGAGTTAGTGCAAGCGCACTTACCACAAGGGCAGGTTGAAGGCTAGTTTTCATCACTCATTTCAAAGAGCTAGAAAAGCCCCTTATTTTTTTTGGTACTCGGCTTGCATCTCTATAAAGTGAAATGTATACATTAAGGCATAAATGGAGAGATCCTTACAATAAGCCTAATTTACGTATCAATGAAATATGAATAGTGGATCCTAATGCAGATGATTGCGACTTAATTGTGGGAAATATTAAAGCATGAGTACGTATGAGTAGTATTGGTGTAAACAATTGAGATGAAAAAAAAGAGTGTTGTTACACGAACCTTAAAATTAATTGAGTACACCATACTATCAAAGTATTTATTGAATTACTAATTTACTCTGATATAAAATTATTAAAAATATATATATTGAATTATAAAACAAATATAATTTTAATAAATACATACTCACCATATTCGACCCTAATATATGTTTAGGGTATTTTCAGACTAGGGTTTCCACCTCTTGTGTTGAGTAGGATTTCAAAAGGTAATGCCAGTGTGAATGCATCTCAGCCTTCTCTGTCTTCTCTCGTAATTGGAATTTGGAAGCATTCAAATCCAGCAAAGAAGTCACCTTCTCATACTTGGCACCATGACAAACAATTTCCTTCAAATAAATTATATCTTCTTACATTAATCTAATCTCTGATAGGTACCGTACAATAATCTTATATATTTTTCTAGCCCTACCACTTTGCAAGTCTCAATTAAATTTAGAGTCAAGATCGTTTTGTATTTTTCTTTACACTTTCACCCTCTCTCATATGCTCCCACTATCAACAACTCAACACGCATAAAAGCCTGTATGGAACAAATCATATCCGTCTTGTATTCAATCACTTTATCGGCTAAATTATCGTTTTTTTGGGGCAGCAATATTTTAGCACATTTCCAGCTATATATAGTCAATTTATCAATAATTTCCTCGATATTTTCGTTAAATTGACAGCTTTAAATGATCAAAATATCGCGATATGAACTTTCAAATGGCGAAATTATCAATTTTTTGGGGCAGCAATATTTTAGCACATTTCCAGCTATATATCGTTAATTTATCGATAATTTCCTCGATATTTCAGTTACGATATTTTCGTTCAATTGGCAGCTTTAAATGGTCAAAATATCGCGAGATGAACTTTCAAAAATTAAATAATTTAAACTCAGCACACACAGTGGGGTTTGAACCCCTCTCCACTCCAAAATTTTGCAACCACTTAACCATCACGCCAGTCGTCACTTTGTGATAATAAGCTATGGAATATATATTTATAATACATGCGAGCTGTTTCTCAAAATAGAAATTAACATAATTACTTATTGTTTTATATTATTGATCAGTTACTTAATTACTTAATATAATTTATTTATTTTCTATTTAATCCATTTAATGTTATTGATTATTTTATTATTCATTATAAGTACTTACATTACTAAATTTCCCTTCAAATTGTTGCTTAATTACTTAAATCTCTATAATTATTTTCTTTGTTTACTAATTAATTCTTCCTTTGATAAATTTATGGGACATTTTGGAAAAAGCAAAAGGGGAGAGAAAAATTTTAAAAGAAGCAAAAATGGACAAAAATGCCCTCATTTATTTTTAGATTTCCTAAGGAATCCAATACATTTGCATGTCTTTGATTTGAAAGTTGAGTGGTTTTTTTGTCTTTTTTGAAAAAGTTTTGGCTTTTTCCAAAAGTGAAATTTTTTTTATGTGTAAAACCTAAAAAACCTTAAATTTATTTATGTTCTTAGTTAATTTTCAATCTTCACTATTATTTTTTAAGTATGGTAAAGTGCCTAATTTTCATGAAAAGTCAAGTTGGTTTAATTATTTTTCAATTTTTGACAAATAATAAATATAAGAATGTGTACCATGTCCAATGAATAATGTGAAATAAGGTTACACATGTATCTTACCATGCAATTTATAAAGTGTAAAATATTGTACTAAAAAATGATAAATAAATTACTATGGGGTGTTTAATTCTCTTCATTAATTACTCCATATTTTCTAAGTCACAAAGTTTGTCAGCTCGCAATATAATCAACTTAAATAACTCAAACCCACTATGTAATGCATTTCCTTCCAGTTTTTTGTGTCAAAATAATAGATGATTGACTAAGTAAACTTCTTCTAAAGTTTTATTAAAAATTTCCATGTATTTATCACAATTTTCGTGGTTTTTATCCAATTTTTATCGATATCGATATTTTTCCGATATTTCCATCGATATTGACGTGTTTTTGAACCACCGATATTTCCAAAGCTATCGATATTTAAGATCTTGTAAAGAAGAGAAAAGTAGAAATATCGCCACGGTCTGCTCCTGATAGCATTAAAACGTTTGTGCTGAAAAAGATTTAAGAAGAATCATATATGACCTATCTTTTAGTTATTTAGTGGGTTCATTTCATAAATGGAGCTTTAATTTAGAGTGTTGCTAAACGAATCCTAAAATTAACTGAGTACATCCTATGATCTAAGTACACCTTAATATTTAAATCAAAATATAAAATTAACTAAGTACACCATATTTAACTAGGGTGTATCATGGATATTTTTGGTAGTTAAATAGGGTGTACTTAGTTAATTTTATATTTTGATTAAAATAATAGGGTGTACTTAGTTAATTTTAGGGTTTGTTTAACACCACTCAGAAAAAGAAAGAAAAAAACTAATGTAAACAATTTAAAAAACATAACATGTGGACCTTATTAGAAAATTCGTGCATTAAACACGTAGGTACATATTTTTGAAAATGTTTTTGTTTTTGTACATATCACAAATAAGCATTTTTTCAAAGGGAGCGCCACAAGGTTCTTCATTGGGCAGGGCCGGGCTTCGCAGGCTTCAAATTTTGGATTCGGGTTGGGCTCTGGTTTTACGGGCTTTTTTTTTTCCTCCTGGCAGTTGCTCAATCCTATGCAGCAGCAGCAGCTGAAGCTGAAAATGATTTTAATTAGACGCAGTAGCTACTTCTCTATCAGTTTGGATGAGAATGATGTTCGAAATGGAGTTAAAACTTTTACAGAAGAAAAGTGGGTGGACGTTTTTCACAGATAGAGCCGCTTCCTAAAGTAAAAGTAAAATATTTCTACAGCGCCGAAAGAGGACTTGTAAGACAGATTGAGGGGGATAATGTTATAAGTTTCTTAAAATTTAGTAATGGAATGAATGCTGGGATTTAAAGAGCCTGAATGAAGCCATGTAATCATCTTATTTTGTGCATGGAAGAAAATTAAACACAACTACAGTACATGTCTTGTTTCTCCCTCTCTATTCTTCTGCATATTCTTCCTCCAGCCTTCAATTTTAGAGCACAATGTGGAAGTTAAAAGATCCTTAATAATCTGATACGGTTAGTTAACAGGCTAGATTGTTGTTTTCGAAGCCCTTCGAGACAGAATTATCCAACAAAGCACACGATAGAGCACAAAGAAGCCGAACATGATCCCCACATTGGTCCATCTGGTGTCCTTGTCAAGTCCCCTACTCTTCAACACATCATTACCTGTAAGCAAACATTTTGAGTGGGAGTAATCTTGAGGATGCCAAGAGAAACACTCGCTTCGAATGCTCCAGTATTCGTTTATCAGCAGTGTGTCCAGCGGATACCTATAAAGAGAAACATAGTACATGAAGAGCCAGTATTTTGGTATGCTCTCTTTTGGAATGAAGTAGCCAGAGAAGAGAAAGAAGGCTCCAAGAACTGTGCAGATAAGAGAATTTCCTGATATGAAGTCAGGAGAGACTGCACTCAAAAAGAGCACCAGAGAACTAGCCATCAAAATGATGAGCCAAACCACGAAAGTGAAAAAAGCAAAGGCAGCAATAGAGGGATTGAGTCCTACTAGCCAATACACAGGAACAGAAAAGAGAATTGCCACTGCAAACAAGAAGGGTAGGAAGACAAAGGTATTGGCAATCATGTAAGAGGAGATTCTATAGGCACCCCTTGAGGCTTCCTTCATTAAAACACGTCGCTCTTGAAGGTATATCGGTAGCGCCTCAACTGTAGAAGAGAGGA